TCTTATGTGTATGTGTGTTCCCGCAAGTCAGCACCAAGAGATGCTGATGCCCTTGTTCTTAACGCTCTACCAGATTAAATCTCGCAGGCTGTCAAAATAACTAGCGGTTGCTCCTGAGCCAGGATCACATCAGCTCAGAGGCGGTTACTCAGCACGGTTGCGCCGTAAGCTGGGGCTGAGCACGTCTCATCACAACAAGGATCCGTGACTGAGTTCAGGGAGGGACTGGGCACTTCATGAAAGACCAAGCAGCAGAAAAGGAACAGTCATCAAATAATCCCTTTGGGAAGGGAAGGGGAGGCGAAATGTGAGTGACAGCAGCCCTTCTTGCGTGATTAGCGTCTGATCCTGAGCACTTTCCTTGTTATTACAACATTCCGTCCAGGATTAGCATCCCAGGCCCAGGACTTGCAAATCCTTTGCCTGACTACAAATGCTCCCTCCGCCAGCCAGCCCGAGCAGAGGCAGCGGGTGCAGAGCATCTGCGCTTGTTCGTGCACAGCTATAAACATTTTTTCCGCAGGACGTTTGATAGAATGGGAAATATTTTGGGTCAACTCAGATTTGCCTGCCACCGAGAACTGACAATCTGGACCTTTTCTGGCATCTGTGGTGCAATCCTTCTAGGAGGTGTTTGTGTGCACACTTCCCTCCGAGCGCTGTGTCTCTAGTGCTCAGCCAAAAGACCTCAACAGTGGGCCTGCCGGAAAGGGTGGGCTCCTCTGATTTTTGCAAACTTGTCTTACAGCTCTGCAGACCAGGTGACAGTGCATTTTGTAAATCGGGATGGAGAGCGACTTACGGCCACAGCCAAAGAAGGGGAGAGTTTGCTGGAAGTGGTAGTCAATCAGAACTTGGCCATTGATGGATTTGGTAGGTGTTGCACAAGGTTACGTGCCCTTAGGGTTTGTGTGTCTGTGCTGTGACCGGTGGGTGCCTGGGGACAGTGCAGCTGTACACATGCCACCGTGCCCTGGTGAGACCATCAAGCAAGCTTTTCTTCCCTAGCTTGCTGGGCTGGCTTACCATGCCGAGGTGGCAGCGTGGCCTCCACACAGTCACTGCTGGGATTCCAGCGGCCTCTGTCAACGTGTTTGGCTGGTTAGAGTTGATGTGCAAATTTGAAAACTGATTGTGGTCCTCCCGGAGAAGAGGCAGGCTGAAATCTGCATCCATCTACTGTGTTTTCTGACACTTCTTCTGGCAGGCTCCAGATCTGTTAAAGGACCTTTTCTCACACTGATCCTGAGGGTGGTCCCTCTTGCCCCCTTGTTTTTTCTGGTTTGCTGTCACTCCCTCGTCTCTCCACCAGGCGCGTGTGAGGGGACATTAGCCTGCTCCACCTGTCACCTCATCTTTGAGAAGGACACCTTCCAAAAGCTGGGTGCCATTTCGGATGAAGAGCTGGACATGCTGGACTTGGCGTATGGACTCACCGAGACGTAAGCCCCCCTGCTGATGGCAGCAGGTTCTCAAGCCTCCCAGGCTGATTCTCAGCACCTGGGACCTGTTTCCAATCCTTACTCCGTATTACGGTTGTGCCTCCCGAGCTGCTTCCTCTTGGGGCGCAGGAGACCTTCAGCGGGAAATTGAGTGAAAACCCCGCCTGGAGCAGATGTCCCAGCATGGGCGGGGAAGTTCTGCCTTTACTGTGGGAACAGATGAGCCTCACTTAATGTTCTCTTCTCAGGTCTCGCCTTGGCTGCCAGGTGTGCATTAAGAAGTCGATGGATGGTCTGACAGTGCGGGTCCCCATGGATGTGTCGGACGTCAGGAGGCAGCTGGAGGTTGGAAAGCAAAGCAAAGAGTAACTGGAAACGACTCCTGCACAACTCGCGTCCTCCGCTAGGTGCGGCGGGGTTCTTGGCTCTTGGATAATGCTGCTGCTTTCTGCGGCTGGCTTGCAGTAGAGCACAGAGGTCTGATGTGGTATAAATGCCTCTTTGGCAGATCTCTTGTTTAAACAAAGCTTAATGCTAGGGTCTTTGGTACATGTTTTAAGTTAAGTGCTCTGCTGAACGCAACTGGACTAAAGCGTACTCTTTTACATCTCCCTGGGCAGGTGACAGTAAATGTCTGTGCTGTGTGTGACTCGCCCCGTCCTTCGAAATTTAAGGAATTCTGCTATTCTAAGTAACTGCTGGGAGTTTTGCGAGGCTTGGCTCTTTAACTGTAGAGCAGATTTCTCCCAATTTGGGAAGCTTAAGAAGAGATCGCTGTTCCGAATACAAGACTGTGTGCTGAGTGGCTTGATGATAGAGGCTGAGTTTGGTTAGCAGGAACGTCCTGAGAACCATCTGAGTGCTGATGTTTCCTATAGGAGGGAACCACTTCCTATGAATTTGAGATGTTAGGTCACTGAACTGTTACATGCCATGGTCTGCTACTTTCTCCACATATTACATTTTCCCATTGCTGTACTACCACATATGTGAAATAAAATTCTAATAATCAGGCTTTTAAACCTGAGAGACACTTTTCTGATAACATGAACCTGGGTGGAACAGAATGAGTTTGATGGAAATTTAGGCATGACATCCTGTTGCCCCAGTTTGCCTGGCTGTATTTTCCCTTCATGTTTGAGCGAATGTCAAACTTGCCATCTAACTGTCATGGAGAACCTATGGTCTGTAGCAGAGTTTAACAGAGTTCTGCACAGAAACCTTTCGAACGGATGCAGTTAAAACCCGGGCTATGTTGAGCAACCAATTTTGACCAACATGTTACTGTTCTTAGGGAAGGTATCAACCCCATAAAAGTCGTATACATTTTAAAAATGCTTATTTTATATTAGAGCAGTCACAGTTTTATTTGGCATGAATCACAGCGGTTTGGTTGGGGGGGCAGGACACACTGCCCTGTCTGGGAGGCCAGGAACGCTCTGTGCCTGTCACAGCCCCTTCCCGCTGGCTCTGAAACCAGTGTGAAAAACCCCTTTGCACACCCAAGTTCAATCAGTCGGAGGAGCATGTGGCACTTGTGCTCAAAGGTATTTAAGGAGGAGTGACAGCCACTAGGGGTAGGGGACACAAAAGGAGGGGCGGGAATTGGCGTGGGAGGTGGGAGTGGAGGAGGCAGGTGGAAGGGGACGGTGTTGGTGACCCAGCTCGATAAGCGGTGGTGGAAGGAGATGCTCTGTCCCAAAGGAGGTGTACCTCTGAAGGGATTGTAGCCCACAGATGGCCCACGCTGGAGCAGGGACAGCCCTGAGGGACCACAGCCCACGGGCGACCCACACCAGAGCAGGGACACCCTGGGGGACTTGCAGCCCCTGGAGGATCAACACTTGAGCAAAGGTAACAACTAAGGAACCAGGGGCACTGGAAGTAAATGAGTAAGAAGCCAGGACTGGCAGAAAGAAACTGTACCCTGACCTCCTGTGCCACCTCTTGCCATACTGAGGGGGTTGGGAGGGATGGGGGACGTTGAGACAATGAAGTGGGGTGGGGGAGAGCTGGGTTTGACTGAAGGTGAGCTTGTGGAAGGGTGAGGAAAAGCGTGTCCCTGTTTGTTTAATTTTTGTCACCTTTTTTCCCCCTCTCAGTACCTGAATCAGTAATGGAAAGCTTATGCTAGCTGGCGACAAATGAAGTAGCATTTCCCACGTTGAGATGTTTCAGCCTGTGACAACAGTACCCGATTAGATGGGTGAAAACCAAATTTTGTATATAGAGAGAAGTAACGTCTTCCATGAGACTGACTGCTGTAGCCTGGGGGCAGAGGAGGGCAGACACTTTCGGGCACACAAGTGCTTCTTTGGATTTGCAGTAGGAGCTGGAAAGTGCGGGTTCGAGCATCCAGGTGCAAAGTGAGCGGGAAGGATCTTTTGAAGGTCAGAATCTCTGCAAGTGCATTCAATGATTTTGTCTGGGGCCGCCTTTAACTCCGCCGCCTCCTGGAGATCCCCCCCACCCCCGGGCCTGACCGATGTTCGTGT